GAGGAGGAAGAGAAAACGTACTTGCTCTTCACCACCGGAAGCCTCACGTACTCCCCTCACCAGATAGGTACGGTGGTCTCTGGGCCGTCAGGTCGCCGGACGTCAACGCACCGGCAGATTACTCCACGTGTGTCTCTCTCCCTCTCAGGTATTAAGCGGATCAAACCGGACCAGATGACGACGTGTGGTCCAGTTCTGGGCGAGGAGCGGAGCTCAGAGGAGTTCTTTGATTCCCTGGACCATGTCATCGATATCCACGGACATATCATTGGGATGGGCCTCTCTCCAGACCACAGGCAAGACGTCTCACACAGAAAATAAATCAAAAAAAGCTTCTTCAAGTTAAATGTTGTTGTAAGTTTTGTCAAGAACAGTGTGATTGACAGGTGTCTGAACCAATGTTCAAACTCTACAGCGTGGACTTGACGGGCCACATTTGGCCCGCGGGCCTTGAGTTTGACACGTGCTCTAAGGCGACCGTGTATGACTGTTAACAGAAAATGAAGCTAGCTTAAGTCGTCATCTGGATGTTTGTTTTTGTTTTTTCAGCAACATTTTAAATGTAAATGTAAGAAGAAGCTAACTTGTAGTGTATCGTGTCGCAGGATCCGCACACTTTTCTAGTGCGATAACTGGAACAAAATATCTGGGATCTGTATCAGGAGTTGTTAGCCTTTTTGGTTTGGTTTAATTTCAGTTGAATAATAATCTAAATCCACTTGTAGGTGAGTTTCTCACAGGTCACACATCTTTGATGGCTTCAGTTAATAACCTATGCAGTCCTACAGCCCACAGCTGCAAATCTGAAAGTTTTTTGCGGCCCTCAAGGTGGCGCTGGCGTCCCAACTTTGGTCCGTGTCCCTATTGTTGAGAGTCACTGATCTATATCTCTGCATCCCTCGTTCATTTCCAGGTACCTCTACGTGAACAGCCGGGCCTGGCCTGCTGGATGCGTGATCTCTGACCCCATGTCTCCGCCTCCCATCGCCGAGGAGATCGACCTGCACGTCATCGATCTGAAGAGCCTGAGGGAGGAGAGGCGCAGCCTGAGGGCCCACCGGGCCTTCACACCCAATGACGAGTGTTTCTTCATCTTCCTAGACGTCAGCAGAGACTTCGTCGCCAGGTGGGTGGACAGGAAGTTTCTGGTCAGTTTGTGGACGGCGGCTCCGGCGGTTGGTGTTCTGACTGGACGCAGAGATTGTTCACCATCTGTGCTGGGTGATTAGATCACACGCTGACAGAGCTGAGGTTCTTTGGAAGCACAGTCGGAGATTCCAGAATAAACTTTCGGATCTGATGTCAGATCATGTTCCTGGGAATCCACCGCCTCCACGTCTGAGCTTATCTGATCATCAGTGATGATATGAGGAGTGTGAATGTGTGTGTAGTGGGAGCCGGTACTTTATGATCTCTATAAACATACAGTACGACTGAGTGTAACTGCACCAAAGGTTTTTTTTTCAGATGAACTAATCAGGAAAATGTGATAGAATTGTTTTGATTAAATTCATATTTTTTGGGTAAACCTCACGTAGGCAGACGTCTGATTGGTTTACACATCGTTGTAGACCAGACGTGTCACACACACACACACACACATATGCTTGTGTCCAGGATGTGTGGCTGAGCTGTGTTAAGAGCAATGACAAACCTAATGACATATCTAATCCAAAAACACACGGGGGGCGTGGACACGGAGCTGACATGTCGCTGCGTCTTAACTTCCCTGTGATGCAGATGAATGTCTCTCTCCCTGTCCCTCTCTGGGTTATTTTTATAACAATAATATAAAATGTTTTCTTAATTATTGCTATTTTTTATTATCAATATATTGGGTTATGTCTATGTTTTTGATGTTTAGGGTGGGGGGTGTTTTAATAGTATATTTCTGGGGGGCTGGAACGAATTTGTTGGTTTTTAGTTATTAACTCCACTCTATTTCATAACAATGCCGTGCTAGTAGGGTTTTTGACACCGCTGTGACCTTTGACCTTTGGCCCTCTGCTCTCCGCCCTCCAGTGGAGCCGAGGACAAGCACGGCTACATCTGGGACCGCCACTACAACATCTGCCTGGCGCGTCTGGCTCACGACGACGTGGTGAACTCCGTGGCCTTCAGCCCGGCTGACCAGGAGCTGCTGCTGTCGGCCAGCGATGACTCTACCATCAAGGTATGGCGTTCACCACGCATGGTTCGCCTGGCGCAGGCCCCGGCTCGTCCGCCCAGGCCCAGAAACCTCTGGTCGTGCTGGCTGAGCCGCACCAGGAACTCCTCATCCTCCAGCTGCGTCAATGGAAAACCATGAGTCAGGTTGGAAAACGCACGCGATGGGAATCGAGGCAGGAAGAGGAAATTGTGATCAGATTGTCCTCTGTGGTATGAATATGTATATATGCATATATGTATGTATATATTCACTCCATGTGAATGAGCTCTGCACCTGCTTCAAGTGACCGAAGGGGGGAGGTTGGAGTCGGACACCAGAGGGCGCTGTGGCGCCAGTAACCGACACGGTATGTCGCTGTTACGTTAGTTAGTCCAATCACAAATACAGAGTTTACACGTTTGCACCAGGAGGAACGTTGGGGTGG